GACGATAGCCACCACGACGATAGCCACGACGATAGCCACGACGATAGCCACGACGATAGCCACGACGATAGCCACGACGATAGCCACGACGATAGCCACGACGATACCCTCGACGATACCCACAACGGCGACGGCGACAGCGAAACCGGAAGCGCAACTTCGAGATCGGATTGGCCCTATAAGCGCTCGACCGTCGATCCTTAATCCAAATTTATTCGCAAACGAGGCGCCTTTCCGGTCATAAGGCCGTTATCTATAAATAAGGAGTAGAGTCTTATTACGAGACATGTGGCCAAACGTCGCGGCCGCAGCTTTAATAATCCATGGCTGTGTGGGTTGGCTTATTATTTTTATATTCACCGCATTTCCTAATAGATTTATTGTCGTTGGTATAGGGCCGTGGAAGCTGCACAAAAGATATAAATAACGCGCGATTATTGAAAATGGATTTTGATATAATCCAAGGTCGCGGAATCACAGTCCACGAATTCGCCAAAAATAGCCGAGCGCGCGCGCATCTGTGCGTGCGTACATGCTTGAGCAAGTGGCCAAGCGACGTTTCTTCGAGTCTCTTTCTCTCTCTCCGTGAATGGATACGGCATCATCAACCGAAAGAAAATTATAATAATATGTATTTCTATCAATGTGATGTTGATTAAGAGCTTAGTCCTTCGTTGTTATTAAATCAATTGTGTATTACAAAACACTAAAAATCAAATTTACCATTTTGGCCAATGTAATGTGGTTAGAAAACTTTCATTGGCATAAAAATCAGCTGAGTGGCATTGAGATGTTTTCAAACTCAAACTTTTTAATTCAGATAAATTTTTTAATTCACAATAATCGATGTAAATGGTAGGGATATTGGAAAAAGTCGGCAAACATCTTGAATTTCATTTTAATTTTCATTTCAAGTTCAACAATTCTTACTATTTGGCATATCAAATTCTATCATAATTGTTGTATCAATTACTAAAAATTTATATTATTTTCTATCGTGCATTATTATTAACTTGTTAATAATGCACTATAAAAAAAAAAAAAAGAAAAAAAACTATTATTAAGATTTATACGAATATATTCAAATATAAAAAAAATTGTTATCAATAATGTACTGGCAAATATTTATTATTTAGTTTTTTATTTACATTTTAAAATAAAAATTTATCGATTCATGCAAATTTAAAATTAAAATTAAAAAAATTTTTTTAATTTTTTTATATTCAACCTTCAAATATACGTGTGTGTATTTGTGTGTGACTTCATATAAACATAGTTCAGTTCAGTTTCAAATGCCAAAAATGTTTTTCACTTGTATGCTTTCTCATATTGTGCTGTCATAAATAAAGCGAAAACGTTACCATTTAAATAGAAAATTCACACGCGCACATATATGTGATAAATTTATCAATGTATTATTCATTTTATAATTCAAAAACTAATTTATTCGAATAATCTCGTTTTCTTTTGAAAATATGATTAAGAGTTTAGTTGAAAACAAGTTTTCAAACATTGTTGCAATGTTTACACGATACATGTAAATAAAGCTCATTGTTGAAAGTAAGCTTAACCATATTTAGCATTAGTATAAATTTTTAAATGTATGCTATTTCCAGACAAAATATAAATATAATTAATATATAATGATATTGAATGAAAATTGGAAATAAATAAAAACAAACATTAATAAGTAGCACTAATGATATACGAGTGTAAATTAACAAATTAACAATATGAAAAGACAATATTTATAAGTATAGTAACAACTGTATCAGAATATATAATGAATTTAGTGCTTATTTGCAGACGAATATATGAATCGTTATAATGAAGAAAAAATATAAGAAAAAACTTTCTTAGTAATAGCTTTTCGTGAAATTCGCTAAATTACTTAAGAATGAATTGCGCATTATTGAAATAAAATTTTAGAAAACTCGTTAAAAGATTATAATAGATATATAAATAATTTTTTGAACGCTATTAACAACAGTTTACAATAGGTTAATAACATTTTTTTCCCCTTAATTGTTAAAATTTGAACATTTATTATGAAATGTAGGTGAATAACAGAATAATAACATGTATTCGCGCTGATTTGTGTCAATTGAGCTTTTGATAAGAATGTGACGCATGAAACATTCGATGGAAGTAGAAAAATAGATACCCTGACACGAATTTTACGTATTATTGATCTATAACTGACTTTGTCGTGTATCTCTGGATTTTTTATACAAACTCGATTATGAAATCTCTAAGCTTTGGTATTAGAATATAATATATATATATATATATATATATATATATATATATATATATATATATATACGAACTATTTAGTTATGATTAAACGTCTAAAAGTTTTATTTTATTTATTTCGAAACAAGTCCAAGTACAAATCTTTATGCTAATACTAAATAAACGATAGTCGTAAATATTTCAATCAATTATACGTTCATCACTCGTAATGTCGACATTTATTTATTCCCCTGACTTTTCGATGGGAGAGGGATAAAAATGGAGAATAAAGTGAATAAAATTAGATATGGTAAGAAAATTGTATGGTAAATGTCCCGGTGAAAATAGCAACAACGGTAAGATTTTCTGTAGCATGAGACAGAAATATCCATTTCTGACAATAGACATTTCCATATTGCGGATAAATAACTTCCAATAATTCACTTAACAACAGTTCACATGAATTTAATAAACTTTCTTTTTTAAATCGAGTACTTTTTAAATACCCCATTAAAAAAAAAAAAAAAAAAAAAAAAAAAAAAAATCTATCCTTTTCTAATTCACCTACTAAATCATAATTAATAATCCTAGTGACATAAAATTAAATTCAAATTCTTCACAAATTCTCTAACCTAATATTGTCATTATAAAAATTAAACGTATTTAAGTTGCAATGATTATCAATGATAAATTAAATATAATTATAATACATCACTGTAAATATCTTTATCCTCGTTAAATTTTACATTATTTTTGTATTATAAAAAGAAAAAAAAAATAATAGAAATATTTGTAAAAATTAATAATAGACTTAACCGAAAAAAAATCGTTTTTTAATATTTAAAAATGAAGTATTAAAATAGAATAAAAGCTCTTATTTAGTATAAAAATATATTATATTTTATCTATACTCTGTAATTAAATTACAGTTTCGTTGATTGAAATTCAATAAATTAATTTTAACCTTTATTAAAGTTTAACTTATATATGTATATGTATGTATTGCAAATAAAATATATAAACTATTGGGAATAAGAAAAGATCGGCATATGACAATTATTGGGAAACAAAACAATGAGATTGTTTGAAATAATCATTTAACTTTTATTTTATGATTTTATGATTTTAAATGAAAAGTTCGTATGAAAATGTTTGCATTATATTTGAAGTTTATATTTGAGTATAATACTGATTTTCACTTAAATGAAAGAAAGTCCATCTCCTGCGAATCATATGCATTGTTATTGTACGCGACTTTGCTGTGTGTGCAATAACAATAAGAAAAAGCATAATTAATGCTGACACATATTTAATAAAACATTTGATAAATAGCAGGAATAATTTTTAGGAAGGTAAATTATAAAGAAAGAAAAACGGCAATAAAAATCTTTAAATGAAATACAATAAAAGTATAAGATTTACGTACGATTGTAGGGAGAAATTAACGGGCGACAAATAAATCAGAAAAGAAAAGATTAAAGTATCGTGTCGGATATTTATTCGGAAAGGAAATTCGTGATTGATCTTCGGTGAAAGATAGTCCTTCATTCAAATGCAAAAGAAATATTTATTGATTATTTTCGGCCTCCCGCCATCGAGAAAGCATCGAGTAAATATTTTCCGCGTCATTTTCACATTTTCCTGCGCACTATTTCACTTCATCCAACATTAAAGTGCAACGTACATTCATTACGTAGTAAGTTTAATGAATAATGTATTTTATCGTTGCATTTCTATGTCATGAGAATATTTTCTAACGATTCAAGTGCAAGTTTCCCTAATTTCGAATTGACTTGCGATCCATTCAATATAAGTTTATTCATCAATGATAATATCCATTAGTCATTAGATCAGATGTTTCTTTATTTGTCAAAACCTTACGTATTAAATATATGAAATAAGTTGGTGTGCGATTCGCCTTTCTTTCTACTTAATTCGAGCACGCATTGTCCATGTAAATTATTGCAATTCATATTTATAAAAATTTAATTCCGCAGTTAATGCTCTATTTCGTAATAAAATAATTTTTTTTTTTTTGGTAATAAGTAATAAGTAAATTATTCGCTCGTTGTTGTTTTCGCTTTTATTAAGAGGCAAAGATCGAATATAATAAATGTCAGTTTCATTAAAATCAGCTTTAACGTTGTTTAAAAATATCTCTCCTGTATTTTACTGTCACTCGCATAAATAATTTTATATAATGTACTTACTGCTTAATTTGATAATAAAATTTATTTGTCATGCTTTTATCTTGATTTTATCTCTTTAAAATGAAAATATTCATTTACAATTTAATATTTCAGCATAAGTCACTGTTCAATTATTAATTTAAATCTAAATCAGTGATTTTTTTTTTTTTTTTCATTTTATCAAATTTTACTATCCACATTGATAAATGATGTTTGGCAAACAAAAAACAAAAAACAAAAAACAAAGAACAAAAAACAAAAAAACAAAAAAAAAAAAACAAAAAAAAAAGCAACAACAAAAACAAAAAATTACTTCCGGCAGAAATAGCTTTTTATTTGCAAAGTATTGGAATTTGATAACAGAAACTTTAATGGGCGGAAATTATGTTATGGATAGTTCAAAGTATTATTAAAAATTATATTACAATTGATGTATGCGCATTCACTTCTAACATTAATAAATTTTCATAAAATTTTCAGCATAACTTTTATCGGTTATAATTTTTAGAACGAGGAATATTTTATTATAAAAATGATTTTATCTCTACTTTAATTCTGAATATGTTTGATCATAATAGTAGAAGTATTTTTATCGGTAAATTTTGTTAAATTATTATTAACAATTATTCACTATTAAATGTCACTGATTGGCAAGTACGGTGATAAAAATTTTCTTACTTTCCGAATTTTCATACAAATGCCAATGTGCTTAATGTAAAATGCTTCTCATACATCGAAAATATTAAAACGAGCAATTTTATTTCATTCTTTCGTTAAGTTTTCATACATTGCGTAATAGAACCAATTACATTCTAAATAATTTCTACCTCCATTATCACTCTCCCATCCTTTTACCAACAAAGAGTTAGTTAATTTTGTTCTTTATCACTTTCCTCAGCATACACGAAAGAAGAAAAAAACCTTTTATTACCAAAGATGGAATGTAAAACGCGACATGATTTAGTCATACGTGCGCGCGCGCGCGCGCGCGCGTATTAAACGTGAGTAACGAAGCACTTGTTACTCGCACAGGATCGATGATCCATCATTTATCATGAATATCAAGGGGTCAAAGTACATTTCAGTCCTACATGAAATGCTTGCAGATGGTAGCACAACCTGTAGAACGCAATTAACTAATTGTAATTTTATTCGAGCTTGCCAAAGGAAAGGTTATCTATCATTCTCCTCCTTTCTCCATACACCATTCGTGCATTTGCGAATAACACAATGATCGTCGATAAGATAATGACAAATAATTAACCGAACGTTCGTTGGAAAGCTCGATGTGTCGGATTGGAGACTAATCAACAAAGTGCCCACACTTTCCACACCACTCGAACAATTGCTCCAAGTCGCACAAGTAAATCCAACTCTCTTAGGTACGAGTATCGGAGCTGGTAATCGGGCGTATCGATTACGCACTCAACTCCCCAAGTTGGAGCTATCAACCCATTTACCATTTACTTGTCCGGTATTTCTAGAGCGAACTTAAGGAGATCCCCGCGAGCTACCGTTGGCCGCTCAAATTACCAGCTAGACAATCAAGACTTATCATCCTCTTTCCAACGCGAATTAACGAGGAAGTTCGTACGCCGGGATGGGAGCGCTCGACATCTCTTATGCAACGGATGTTGAGTACCAGCATTGAAGGGTTGGCAGCGGTGATCTCGCGTATTTTTTCATAAATACCATACAACAATAATAGCGAACTATTATTCATATTGTGTTTAATGACAGTTCGAACGAATTTTATATTCACGAGTTACGACGTTACTTTAATCGTAAATGCCCTGACTCCCGTGGCTTTATTTATTAATAAACTAGTAACATTCCTGCGATACCCTATATACGTGCTACCCGTTGATGATGTAAGAGAGAGTTTCGTCTTTATCGACTGACCGAAGTTTTCCCTCGGCGTTCTAGCTCGACATACTAGTGCCCCCTGTTGGCCAATTGTGGTATCAACTCAGTTGGAATGACAGTCACATTGTTAAGGGTCGGGGCCGTGGCCGGCGACCTAGGCGGGGGGGGGGGATCCGGAGAGTAAAATCTTTTTAAATTAACCGAACACGTGGGCCAAGTATGTACCGCTCGTCTCGTTGATAAATTCTTTGAAAAGCGAGCAGAGATCGTCGTTCTTTTTGTAATTAAATAGTGAAGAGCTCGAGGCAACATCATGACTATCTACAACTTTAAAAAAATTGCTGTTGTCCCGTCGGCCAAAGTGAGTAAGAGCGAGTAATGGCAAAGAGGTTATATATTAGCGTACCGTAGGCATTGTCGATCGACGATGTGTCACAAAACCGCTATTGATTATCGTTATATTCTTTCTTTATTAACGGATATTAAGCTATCGTTGCTATATTTCAACATAAATTATGTATAATGCCTCTGCTTTTAGGATTTCATCAATATAACGCTGTCAAAGGTACAGCGAAAGACGCCAACTGTCATTCACAAACAGTATGCAATTCCGCGTATTCGTGCCTTTTACACGAGGAAAGTTAAGTTTACGCAGCAGACTTTTCACGATCGTCTAAGTCAAATTATACAAGAATTTCCAAAACTCGACGATGTTCATCCATTTTATGCCGACCTTATGAACGTTTTGTACGACAAAGATCATTATAAATTAGCTTTGGGTCAAACAAATACAGCCAGACATCTAATCGACAGGTTTGGTATCCATTATCATTTTGGTATTCGATTATTCGTCCATTTGTTTTTATTGATATCGCTTTTATTGATTCGTTGTAGCGTTGCAAAAGAGTACGTTCGACTGCTCAAATATGGGGATTCGCTATATCGATGCAAGCAATTGAAAAAGGCCGCGCTGGGTCGCATGGCCACTATAATGAAAAGGCAATCTACCAATTTAACTTACTTGGAACAAGTGAGACAACATTTATCTCGATTGCCCAGCATCGATCCTTACACAAGAACAATTATTATATGCGGCTTTCCCAATGTTGGAAAAAGTAGCTTTATCAATAAAGTAAGATTGCAAGGTTCGAGCCTTTAACGCATCGATACCATTACAATTTTAACGACGCATCTTTGCTTCAGATTACAAGAGCCGACGTCGAAGTGCAGCCTTATGCTTTTACAACTAAATCATTGTACATTGGTCACATGGACTACAAGTATTTACGATGGCAAGTGATCGATACACCTGGCATTTTAGATCACCCCTTAGAGGAGAGAAATGTCATTGAAATGCAGGCTGTAACGGCTTTAGCTCACTTAAGATCCGCTATTCTATACTTTTTTGACATTTCGGAACAATGCGGTCATTCTTTGGACGAGCAGGTAGAGAATATGATGGTCGTTCAGTAATAATCGAGCTATACCGCATTAACTTGTGCGTCGGCGACATAAATATAATCACACGATTAATTGGTATAATTTGCAGATGAAATTGTACGAGTCGATCAAGCCACTTTTTCAAAATAAATCCGTCACCGCCGTGCTGAATAAAACGGATGTTATACGTTTGGCCGATCTGCCGCCGGAAAAGAGAAGTATTCTGAAAAAACTGGAAGACGATGAAAATATTCCAGTCATTGAAATGAGTACCATCACAGACTTTGGCGTAATGGAGGTAAAGAATCAGGCTTGCGAAAGATTATTGTCCTCGAGAGTCGATCAGAAGTTGAAAAGCAAAAAGGTGAATGAATGTCCTTTGGCCTAACGATATATAAATAAGGATTTTCTCTCGTGCCCCTAATAGCTATGCCTAAAATTCGTAGATTGACAATATTTTGAATCGCTTGCACGTGGCTCAACCGAAACCACGGGATAACGTTGCTCGTTTGCCCTGTATACCCGATAGTGTCGTGCAGAAGAAATTATTGTCAGCTAACAAAATCGAGCAACGAAAACGGAAATTAGAGCGAGAAATTGAGGAAGAAATGGGCGACGATTATGTTTTGGATCTCAAGAAGAATTATGACATCGAAGGCGATCAAAAATATGATATTATACCAGAATTTTGGGAAGGTCACAACGTGGCGGATTACATCGATCCCGATATATTCGACGTAAGTGGCGCAATATGGCCGTTTGACCAATCGTTGTGTTGATGTTAAATTTTAATTTTCTAGAAATTGAATGCATTGGAGAAGGAAGAAGAGATAAGAACAGAGGCTGGCATCTACAATTACAGGGTGCCAGAGTTAAGTGAAACGATGAAAGAAATACAATTGTTGGCAAAACAAATTCGCGAGAAGAAAATAATCATGAAAGAAGAATCGAAAATAGTTAAGCAATCGACCAAGCCAGTAATGCCTCGTACAGCTGCTGTTAAAATTCGTGATCGTTCCGTGTCGAAGCTTCGAAATCAAATGGAAGATTTAGGAGTAAACATGCAAGATACAGGAAACGTAACTAAGCCAACTTGTTTCATTATTATTCAGCGACTATTCATACAGACGTGGAAATTAATAAGAAATGCATGTATTATTGACACTTTACAGGCACACTTTACCAAAACGAAAAAGCGAGGCAGATCATTATCCCAGAGTGGTGACCGGAAGCGGCAACGTTTGCAATCGACTTCCAAGGCTCGCAGTAGTTCTAGACCTCCGAGAGATGAAATGGGCGTTAAGGATACTGTGGTAATTAATATAAGACTTTAAGCGATCTTTTCATTTACGCGTCAATGCAAAAGCAAAAGCCTCAATATCATTATTTCCTTGATTTTACATTTTAGATGAAGAGTAAACTTAAGAAGATAGCGCACAAGGCTATTAGGAAGAAAATTGCTAATAGGGGTCTCAAGGGTGAAGCGGATAGATTTATCGGTAACAAAATGCCGAAGCACTTATTCGCTGGTAAACGATCGATCGGAAAAACCGACAGGAGATAAATATTACCTTCACATTGTTATTATTATTATTATTATTATTATTATACATATACATACGCATACGTAACACACACACACACATGCAAACAAACAAACACGCGCGCACACACACGCGCGCACACATATATATATATATATATATATATGCATACGTATATTACGTTATAAAGCTGATGTGTTTTATAATTTAAGAAAATAAAAAATAAATAAGAAATATATAAATTTTATTAATCTTTGTAAACAAGAATAGACTGCAATTTTTCACATTTATATACAGTTATAAACGGTGTATTTTAAATACAATTTTATAAATCTTATTTTAATATTTAATACAAATGTTAGTTAAAGTAATTTGAAGAGAAAAAAACAACAACGGCTCACTCTGACAGAAAATTAAACAAAAAATAGAATTATAAAAAAGAAAAAAGCTCCATATCTATTTCAATAAATAAAATGGCATTTAAAACAAACAAAAAGAAAATGAAAAAAGAGACGTAGTAAGCTATCTATAAATAAAGTAGTAAAATTTCATTCGATAAAGCATTATAAAACGGTAGATTTCTTTGGTAATATATCAGGAAGCGCTGCAGTGTTACATCCTTTCTTCCTGTTCTTCATGTGCTCCTCAACGATTTTTAAGAATGCCTGTCGTTCCAACTGATTGTAAGCAATGGATAATACTAATAAAGCGGCATTTTGCACATACGTACAGCCGGTACTTAATAGATCGTGTCCTAACTCGAGGCAAGTACCAAAATCACATTCGTCGCCTGCAATAGTGGCGAGTCTGACAACTTCGCCAAGCTCTGTGCGAGGCTCTAATCTGTCCTCGTCAGACTTTGCATCATCGATCTTCTTAACAATTTTCAACAATTGGCCTGAGACGAGAGTTACTTTGGTCTTTAGAATGAATATAAATTTTAATAATACCGATTACAGATTATGTGCAGGGTCGATACTTACTGTCGCTCACCGATAGTTCTCGATAGCCGAGTTGCGATTTCTTATTGTAAGGACAAACAATCCCAGCGCCATGAATTGTTCTAGCTACGACATTTTTCTCTCTAGAACTCATTTTTGGTGTCTTAGCTTGAAGGGAGATATTGTGCTTAGTGGCATAAGCCTTGATCTTACCCAGAAGGTTGAAGTAGCTTGTCTTTTCAAATGGATTAGCTTTCTTTATTCTCTCCTCCATGTAGAGCCTACAGATTAGATAAGAGAAAATGAAAGCCCGACAGTATAATCGAGGCTACTCGTTATTTTTTCTATCTACATAAAAACAGTAAATTTACGCTATAGCGCCAAATATATTTTCAGCTACGGGCTTGATTTTGCAATTAACATTGCAGGAATTCGACGCCACAAAAACAGGCTCGCCGCTCGGTCTGTCTCTCCAGTAACCAAAATGTAAGCCTTCCTTATCGTTTCCTTTCAGAATTGTCTTTATAAAAAGAGCAGGAATCGTTAATATTTAAAGCAATTATGTCGATTAAAGGTTGTCGCGAATCCATTAAATACCTGAAATTCCGGAGGATCGTAATAATACCTCCAATGGGTGAGTAAGCTACTTTGCTTAGGTGTACTCTTAGTAATCAGTCCGTTTAATACATCGTAAGGGCCGACTAATTTTATATCGACGATCTTGAATGCGGTGGATGGCTCGTTGGGTTTCAATTCTCTACAAAAATTATAAAACCGATAGAAGTCATTGGGCATCGATACAAGAAATATCTCAAGAATCAACTGTCTAGCATCGCTATAAGTATCCTCCGTGTCTTTGGCACATTCATTTTCAGCTTTAGCAGCATTTAGGCTCCCTTCCAAATTCGAGGATACATTTTGCTTCTTATTCCTCGACAACTCACTCGAACTGCTTCCTTCATTATCCGGAGATTTTCTCTTCATACTACTATTCGATTCCTTCTCGTCATTTTCCTTCTAAACATAAAAATTATGAACTTATAACACCTACCCTTCTCTCCTCAATCCATTAATGGAATCAAGACATTTTAATGGCAGCAGTATTTTAAGGTTATAAGCATAAAGTCTTACATTACTAATTGGATGCTTATATTTCCTATGATGTTCGGGATTCTTTTGAAAACAGTCCGCACCGTATTTACACTCGACTCGCGAATCCTCGACACCAATGATCATACCCTCGCTATCTTCGCGCTTATTCATAATTTACTCCTTTACCGAGCCTCCCAATGACTAATTCTATCTCTCCTCCGCTACTATCCAACACCCTGACTTTTGTTAACCGATCCCCGAGAAATCCTCGGACGAATACAAACACAGCTACTAGGTAGCTAACTTCTACTAATCAGTGAAGATTCATCATATGATGGCCGGGCCTTTCTCGACAATCCCCAAACCTCCTCCTCGTCGCTCTCGCACGGTCGATCTCGTCCCTCTAAACTTATTATTGGCTCTCGGTTTCGCGGGCTCGTCTTTTCAACGCTTAACCCCCTAACACACACAGGCACACACATGCACGCGCGCACGCACACATCCCTGACCCTACGCGATCAAACCACAAAATGCTGACAAACGCAAATACGCACAAACGCGCGCGCACTTTCCACCCTCCGAGCGACAATCGCCACCTACTCGCCCCTCCCCTTCCGTGCCTGCGCCACTAACTGACTGGCACTATTCGGCGAACAAACAAGACGACGCGAAAATTCACATGTTCGCGGAAAAATATTCACGTCACGACGAGCGGCGCACGAGCAATTTTATGTACGAGGATCCCCCGATCAGCTCTTTCTCCTACCTTCTCATCGGCCTACTTTCACCTGCGACGACATTAACTCCCCGGCATAACGAGATGTCAAAGTGTCGTCGTCGTTGGCGGCTTCGAGCTTCCAAGCTCCATTGTAATAACAAAGAAAGCGGACGATGGTCGGATGGGCTGGAGAGCTCGAAAAACCTATTACCCGCGAACCATCGAGCCAATCAACTGCGACCTTCCGACGAACGACCGGACCGTCGTCCGCTGTTTTTGATCCAGCCTAGGGCACTCGGCTCAGTCCTAGGATAAATAATGATAGAGAATGTTTGAATTTTCGGTGTGTTTTGTGTTGAATTATCGCAGTGTCGTTTATTAAAATTAGCGGCGACAAATACACCGACTCCTCCTTACCAATGCGTAGCTCAAAATTGGAAATTCGTCGACTTTGTGCCCAATCGAGCGACCTTTGACTTCAACTTCAGCGACCGCAGCCTTAACCTTCCAATATTATTATTATTATTATTATTACGACGACGACGACGACGACGACGACGACGACGACGACGACGACGACGACGACGACGACGACGACGACGACGACGACGACGACGACGACGACGACGACGACGACGACGACGACGACGACGACGACGACGACGATAAACGAGAAGAAGAACGATAACAGTAACAACGGTAATAGTAATAATGTTAATACACAAGGTAAATTGTTGATTTAGTATTTGCTTTTTTATGTCGAAGCGCTGATGTTGATTGAGGTTAGAATTGTCTCGCTTCGTTTCAGATGTTGAACAGCACGTGCCAATTTCTTCGTTGGAACAATAACATTCTTACGCGTGGTTTTGGATCAGTTTTAAATAAAAATTTGGAGAAAAGTAAGTGAAGTTCTGTGAGACATTGGATATTTGAAATTCCGACCGTTTTCGGGATAATCTATTGTTTGTTTTCCTTGTTTTCCTCGCTGACGATTGAAATCAAGTCGATCGAATGTTCCACACACGTTTAAAAACCGGCTCTTCCATTTTAAAATGGAACAACTATTTACAATATTACAACATTGCTGGACTTGTTTTATTTTTTCTTATTTACTTTGGCTTATAAAATTACATAGCGCTTCGCGAGAGATTATTTAAAAGTCCTATTATCGCTTCCAAATTAAAAGCTAACACGTTATTCTTTGTCTTTACTTAACCGTAATTTGCATTTTTGTCTAATACTTCTTCTACAATCTAAGGTAATACATATTTTAATAATAAGAGGGATTAATAGCTCCTCTTGTAGTTTGGATGTGTGGTTCTGCGCGATGCTGCCTTTACACTTTCATGCATTAATTACCTTTTGTTGTAGCCTTGAATCAAATTACGCTGCTTGGAAGGGTCGGCCAGGAGCCTCAAAAGCGTGGCAGCGAGGATCATCCGGTAATTGTATTTTCCGTCGCGACACACGTTAATTATAAGCAAAATGAAGGTAAGATTTGTAAGAAGAATCCAGCATATTTGCGATGTAGAAAATTTAATGGATTAACATAAAATCTCACGATTGCAGATGATTTTATACAAAAAACCGACTGGCACAGAATATGCATATTCAAGCCAACACTGAGGGAAACTGTTTATAATTATTTGAAGAAAGGTCAACGAGTGTTAATTCACGGCAGAATAAGTTATGGAGAAATAAAGAACGACAACGGTGATTCGAAAGTATCGACATCCATTATAGCCGACGATGTTATATTTTTCCATGCAGTATAAATATGTAAAAATATTTTTAAGAATTTCACGATAACATACCGCTAAATGTACATAAAGATATATAAAATAAAGTTTTCAGGAAAATAAAAACAAATTTTCGTGTATTCTTTCTTAATAAGTAAATAGGTCTGTATTTACAACATTCGTATCTATCATTTTCAGTAACAATTTATATAATATAATAAAATGATTCTAATTCTAAAATTTTACAAGTATTATAATTTTTATACACATTTCTCACTTAGGTTTATGCAGAATAAATTCTTTTCACCATATTTTACCTTGCCAGCGTTGTTTTAGCATTCTTACGATCTACAATATATGCCAGCTGTGCATTCTCTTGCACACTAGTATAAATTATTTACACTTTGTAAACAAAAATTAAGGGTAATTCTTTATTATATGCACATGTATATATGTATATTATATACATGAATACATGCGTAATTTTTATATCGTTAATATTAAACTTCTGTCTAGAAAGGGTATGTATTTGTCGTTTCTCAATCAACGCACTTTCTCGTTCGTTCAATTTAATTATATACATATACTCGCTCCTTTTAAGCTTACAAAGATCACAGTATACAAGTAGCCAGATATAAATTTCAATTTTACAGTAATCGCTCGAGGCTCTCGATAAGAATATCCTATGGGGCTGTTGACATAGAAAACTTATCTGTTCTGGTAAGTAGAAATAAAAATAAAAATTCCCTCTTCATCCCATATACTAAGCATGAAATTTTCCATTGTGTAAAAAAAAAAGAAAAAAAAAAAAAAAAACAATTCAATTACTTTGTAACTTTATCTCAACCTCAGAGGTTAGAAGATCCATAATATTCCGACCTGCGAAGAATTTTCTAATGACAACAAGATTTTGTCGACATCTCTTCCATTTAAAGGAAATCCCTTTCGCACAAACTTTCACAGTTCAACTTCAATGATATTTCTCGCGAAAATCAGTAATAATTAGTGAAAAAATACAATACACAATTACATTCGAAATGTATAACTCTGGATTGCCACTAATACGCTTTACTTATAAATTTTTTGCACCGAATGAGTTGGTCGAGCCAGTGCAAGCCTGGTCGTGGAATGTAAGCCACAGAATCACACACCCAGCACGACGTAGAAATTTCGAATATAGATTTTGGTAGTAAAATATATCATGTATTTATACATATATACATATATATATATATATATATATATATATATATATATATATACACATATATATATACACACGCGCGCGCGCGCGCACACACACACACACACATATATATATATATATATACATATGTTTTTTTTATGTATAAATTTATGTATAACTCTGGCCCCAATTTTCCATAAATTCCTTCTATTTTTTTTTTTTCCATACAATTAGATATATTTTTTTCGCTTTTTCATTTCTTTGCTTTATAGCAAGCAACTTATGTACAACTTATTGATTTACTAGAGTATAATCGATTACAATTAAACACGCAGGTGGTGTGTCGACTGTTAAAAATTCGCACCATTATTGATCAAAGACCGAAGCTAATACCACATACCACACGTGTCTTTATTATTTTCATATCTTTATCTTTTTTGCCTTCTTTTTTATTTTTTTTTCATTTTTTGACATAACAAATTATTGTTCTTGGCACACGGATAAATTTCTTTTCTGTTTCTCTTCCTCTTCTTCTCGCTTCACTACCCCCCCCCCTCTCTCTCTCTCTCTCTTCCGCCACCCAGTCACGTTGCTGTCACATCGCCAACGTTTTTTCTTCCTCACTCTCTCTCTCTCTCGAACAATATCTCTAACTCTAACTCTAAATCTCTCTCGCTCTCTCTCTCGTTCTCTCTCTCGTTCTCTCTCGTTCTCTCTCTCTCTCTCTCTCGCTCTCGCTCTCTCACTATCTTGCGTACGAGCGCGCTTAACATTCTGTAATAAACTCTAATATCATTCATTCTCACCTAGTCGCAACGCGCTATCGCACGCACGCCTCTATACAAATGTATCTCACTTATCTGTAAAGTGCACGTAGCAAATCGACGAAACGATTTGATAATTAATAATTTATAACATCGCGAACACGAACATTGGCTAAATCTCTCTTTTCACGATAGCTTAAATCACTTCCGTGTCGTATTTATCGTACGTGATAACGCAATTACAAATGTCAACGAAAAGAAACATAAGGAGAAGAAATACAAGAATAAGGCAAAATAATAATCATAATCGTAATAGGTAGGAGGAGGTACAAAATAAAGAAAACTGTATGAAAACGTTAAACCAAAGTCTCGACTCTCTCTGAAGAACAAAAGATGCAAGACACCATATGTGCGAGTGTCATGCGCGCAACTTCCCCCGATGAACATATTCTTGACTCGCAGCAGTTCGTTGTAACGAAGAATATATATTATTTATACATGTGTCTTTTTCAAGTCGACGCGTCGTCATTCCCAAAGACGGCGAATTGTCGCTAAAACCAAGATCCAGAAGAGAAGAAAACTAGCTGTGTCGCGGGACGAGCGTGACGAGGGGGATAGGGGGGGGGGGGGGGGGGGTGGGGGGGGGGGGGGGGGGGGGGGGGATGGGAGGGAGGGTGAGTGAGAGTTTGAGTTTGAGTTTGAGTTTGAGTGAGAGTGAGAGTGAGAGTGAGGGTGAGAGTGAGGGTGAGAGTGAGAGTGAGAGTGAACACGTCCTTCAATGGTCACATGGGTTGATGCTTCCTTCTCATTCGTGTCTCCAACTCTCGGCTCCGCTCTCCTACGTAACATTTGCGTAGTGGATAAGTCTTCCAGTCTCGTCCCATAAAGGTGTCGGCGCCTCTTATTATCGCGCATTGTACTTAAATACGGAAGAATCGTGATTCTTGCAAAACGTCCAAGGTCTCGCGAGCATTGCACTTTGGCCCTCCTCGGGCTGGGGAGGGGGGCCGATGGAGCCGAGTCGTATCCCCGAGAACGCGTCGAAGTGGAATAGGATGTCGGGGGGATTCGGCTCCGTTGACCCGAGCGCCCCGGGCGTTTGACTCGACGGGCTCGACGT